GATTTGTTATCTGAACTAGATTTTCACGTACCGAGACGAAGTAGTAAAAACGAAATCTTCTATTTGCCCAAAAATCAATGTGTTAATGAAATCCCCAGTTTATAAAATATGTAAAATTTATAATAGTTTCTATTCAGAATGTGATATATTTTTGTTGTTCCATTTGGACGCTTCAAGTATATAATTCGTAACAAGTTAATTTATATGCAAGTCTAATTACAATCTAATTACAACCTATAAAGGTGAAATACTGTGTTTCAACTTTCTGCACACTGCCAATTCAATTAGAATTCTACAGTATATATTTTTTTGATTATTATATGTATGTATTAGTGTTTGTATAATATACTATTTTATTAGTCTATTGATTTTATATGCTATCGTTGTATTCTATTTTACTGATACTTATTCATAGCTGTAAATTTCATTATATTTGTCTTGTAATTAGGATTACTCCTGTTAGACAATAAACCCTTTTTTTTAGTTTCAGACTTGTCCTCTTTAGGACGGTTGAGTGGTTCTGCCTAGCACCACTGATACGAGCTAGGCGGGTCGAAACAGCGCTGTCTTGTGTTTGATCACAAGTTTATCTAGTTGATTTGCAGTGGAAGACAGAGGACGAATTACAGTTGATGTCAAAACTTGGCTTTGCCTTGGGGAGCTTCGTTTATCTATGGTATTCAAGGATTAACTCTTTTGTCGATCCCATAGATGACATCTTCGTAGGAGGCAGATACCATCACCTTCACTTTCAGGCTTGTCCTTTTAAGGACAGTTGAGTGGTTCAGCCTAGCACCACTGGTGAGACCTTGTCGGGTCGAAACAACGCTGTCTAGAGTTGGATCACAATTAATCTAGTTGATTTGCAGTGAAAGTCAGGACAAATCTCGTTCGGAGATCGATGATGAAGCTTGACTTTGCAACTGACTGTCTTGGGAACCTCGTTTATATTTGATATTCGAACATTGAGTATTCTGTCGATCCCGTACATGACATCTTCATAGGGGGAGACCTATTCTTTTTAGAAGAGTTGAGTGGTTCACCCTATCACCACAGATGAGAAGCTGGCAAGTCCAAACAGCGCTGTCTGGTATTAAATGACAAATTTATATAAAGAATATGATTTTACCAAAATTTTAACTCATTATATAACCTCCAAAAATATACGACAAACCAACGTGATTACTTGTACAGAAACAAAAATTTACAGACCAAAGTCATTAAATCGTACGTTTTTACTTCTCTATTCAATTTTGCCTTAAGGTAATAAGAACCCAGAATTAGATATTTTCAAAAATCATTTCTACTCAGTTCGGTAGAGATAATATTTGAACAAATATTACTCCATTCACACATTCTTATGATTCAAACTGCTACTATTAATTGAAATTAACCTATTTGTTCACAATTCAATACCCTTAATTCCAAAATTTTTCATTGATACCACTTCCAACGAAATCGGACGACCGAAAGTGGTCTCTCTCACGCACAAACCATTCAGCATGAAGAATGCCGTGATAACGAACTACACTACCAAAACATATAAAGAGCGCTCAAAAACTGGCTCTGGCTCATTGAAAAGCTCGTAAAAAATGGAATCTGACCATACCCTTTATTTTTTTTTACTCATGTGGTTACCACGAAATGAGAAAAAAAACTCTTTCAAAACCAAAAAAGTTAGAAATACCTACTTAGTGCTATCTACGGGTAAATTAACGTTGCGAAAAATAAATAAGTGGTGATGATGTACATTGCTCAACAATTGCTAAGGATCACCAGTACCAACTTTCTGAAAGTTTACAAATTTTAAGAACAGACCAACCGGGCCAGGCACCACAACAAATTTTATTGATTTATGTGTAAACAAATTCTTTTACAAGGCCGTTTTTGAATTTGATGCCACTGTATTGGGTAAACCCCTGTGGTACACCACTAAAACCTGTACATACCTCAGCAACTTTTGATGCTTTAGAAGCTCAGATCCTTGGAGTATTGTTCTCATGCATACCCTAAAGCTGCTGGATTCCATACAAAAAAGAGCCATCCGCCTGATTGAAGACGCTAACATCACTTGAAACCTTGAAAGTCTGGAACATCGAAGGAAGGTTGGGGATTTGTCTTCTATAGATACTTTCACGGGAAGGGTTCAAGTGACTTGGCACATTTGATTCCAAAAAGAGCTGTACATATCAAAAATACGCGACGAACCGTGGCTGCTCATCGTTTTGAGGTTCAACTCAGTACATCTCGAACTTCACTGTTCAAGAACTCTTTCATTTGGAGAACTGCTTTTATGTGGAATGAACTTCCTGAAAACTGTTTTCCAAATGGATTTAATCTCCAATGTTTCAGATCCAATGTGAATCGCTACTTTGTCACAGCCACCGCTCTCAGAGCGCCTTGAAAATTTTCCTGTAGTGCTTGTGTTTTGTCCTTAAAAAAAGTTGATGGAAATGTTTAGCAAAGGCATCCACAATTTTAACAAATTTCCGTCTATCTGATTGAAAGGTCATTTAGTGTAGGAATTATCATGAATTTTAGTTTTGGTGGTTTTATGTTGTACTTATTTATTTGACAGGTTTCGCACATATTGATTTATTCATCAATCTTCAAGGTTGGCCAGTAGAATTGTCTTCATATTCTCAATTCTATGTGGTTTACGACTTCCTGTTGGGGTAGTTTCGAATTATTATATATTGTTGGTTAGTTGCTAACATCTTTCAGAATTTCGTTGCATTTTACCTAATCATAGGCAGTGTTTTCAAAAGTTTTCTGAAAAATATTGCACATCGACTTATTTTCGGCGTCTGGGTTGAAATATTCACATATTTCATTTTTGAAGGAATGTAGTTCTTGAAGAATTTGCATGAATTCGTTTAAAAATCACTTATAAGTTTCATTTTGATAGTCGCTATATAAGGTTTACAAAACCGCAACATGTATTTCACTATACAATAGCTTTCTCAAGCAGGATTTGGAATCCTGCGATTGAGCATGGTCGGGAATTTCGTCTGCAGTGTCAATAGCAGAGGTGTCTTCGCTTATTCTTCTTTGAGGTTGATCAGTTACAGTATTTTCAGACGATGCATTGTTGCATAACGAAGATCCATTGAAGGTATGGTCAGAAGTACTTAGTTGCTCACATCATTGCAAGCATCTTCTTTTCTGTCGTTAATTTTTTTTTGCTTTAGTTCAACGTAAGAGAGGCATATGCAGTTGGTTTGTCCTATATCCAATAGTTCTTTTGGGTACCAATAGCAAAATTGCTAGTATAATGTTGTATGGTTTCATGAAACCAGGATACTGTAGAAGAGGTTTGTTGACTAGATGATTGTTGCAGCTTTCAAAACATTTCGTGAATTCAGGTGTATTCTCTTCCGCCATCTCATTCCGGTGGCAACCGCTTGCTAGGTCCAAGGTGGTGATTCTCTGATCAAGCATTAAATTTACCTGATTTTCCACTTCTGGCTTATGTTGTAGGTATCTGTATTGTTTGGTAAAGAGAGAAATTTTATCTTTTGTCCTGATATGGTGTTTCACTTGACTTGTGAACACTGGTGTGTCTGGTGCATAAAAAATAGCGGAATATTATTCATAGCTGTAAAACATATCGTTCCTGAGTTCTGTTCTGATTAATTTTGTATATTCAGGCCGTGCGAAGATTTGTGTAAAATATCTGCCGTAGATAAATGGAAATGACTTTCAGTCAAATTTGGTTGATTTTATTGAGTCGGTCAGTGCTGTATGTATTTAGCTCAAAATCTGTGTCATTGATAAGTTCTGTCCACCCAAGATTCTTACCCGCGATTTAGTGTTTCTCGTAATTTTGCTCTTTGAATTTTTTGTTCTGGTAATATGATAGATAGTACCTTTGCATTTTGCTACTGATAACTTGAGACGTGTAATTGTATGAGGCTAGAATTGAACAGATTTGATTCACTGTGGTTCTAATTCGATGAATTTTCAATAGATGAATTTTTAATAAGATCAATTAACTCTAACTCTGCACTAGGGTAAATAGAGGGACTAGGAACAGAGGAATCTGACATTAATACTTATAGAAGAATGGTGATGACTTGATGGGTTCCCAAAGATCTGCTTTCTCTCCGTTTGGTCCTTGGAGAGTAGTCGTGATGCTGCCATCAAGGAATCGTTTGTTTCGGATCGCGAATAAACGTTTCAAAACGACGAGGAACTTTCACAGACTCTTTCGCGAATTCTACCGACTGCGCCATCGCCAGTTAAAGGTTGGTTTTCTAAAAATAAGTTTTTGAAAAATGTATGTTATTCAAAAACCTGTGTTACTACAACTAAGAGGTATCAAGTCAGACTGTGTATAAAAATGAGAATTCTAATAAAAAAAAAAATCCAAGTTCAAGAGTTTCATCTTCGTCGGTTGTCGCTGATTATCATGAATGTTGTCGATTCTTGGATTGTGATTGTAACTTCCGTGAAGACATACACGCAATAGATATAAGAAATAAAATCAAATTAACTATGCCACATCACACTGCACCGTTTAAAAAATATTTTCAGTGCTATAAAACTACAGTTCTTTTGCTGAGAAGTTAAAAAGATTCAATATTAAGAAATTCAATACAAGTATAAAATATTATAATAGTCAGTAATCTCAACTTCTGCTTGTTGGATAAATTCTGCAACAGATAAATATGTTTATTTCTTTATCTTTTTTCATGATATCATCACTATTATTTGTTTTTCTTTTTATGAAAGCGTTTGATTATGAAATGGTGCTTGTTGGTTTAGCCGTCGTAGCTCTGAGCTAGACTTCACACCATTGAGTACCATTCTGTACATTTTTCTATAGTTTTTTGTGCTCCTCCACGTCTTTTTGTGAATAAGAAAATTATGATTAGATTTGCTGTGATATATTGGGCCATGACATATTCGAAATCCTCCTAGACCTTTCAAATATTCATCTAATATATACTCAGAGTATCGAAACCCTAGAGATTTCACGCTGATGAAATATTTTACAGGTGTGCTGCAAAGACTTGTGGTATCTGGAAGTTGATAAGCCGCCTGCACCTAGTCGAGTGTCCCTTGTCAAAGCAGCAACTGCATCTCTTGAAGTGAACTGGACTGGAACACCCTCAGTGCAGATTTATATCCTACAGGTAAGTAAATGTAAATACAGATGAATGATTATATTTATCAATATGCTTTAAATTGTCCAGAGTTGTCAGTTGTTTTACTGTCATCATATATCTGTTATTACTGCATAACCTTTCTTTACATGGAGTCTACTACATTCGAATAATTTTTTTTTGTTAACTAGCTGTTCCTCTACGAATGACAATAGTTCATAGTTGAAATTTGTGTGAGCTGACAAATAACGATGTCTTATTTTTTAATGTGTGATTCCTAGCACTAATCAGACTTTAAGCAGTAAAAATTTCATCGTGCCAGAATTCATTTTCGCTAGACAAAAATGTATATATTTTGAAATTCTTATTTCTAACTCCTCCAAATTTTATGTCATAATGAAGTGATTTCTGATTAACATTGCAAGTCTGCTCATGGTAAGCCTTTTCATAAAAACACTAGAGTATTTGTAAACAATTATGTCCATAATGCATCTCTTCACAGACACAGAACAATTGTCAAATTCAATTTTACTCGGTAATCAATGACTCAAAATGCCCAACAAAATTAGCATAGCAACAACACCAAGAGAAATGACAGTACTGAATAATATATTTTGACAAGTTGATGGGGGAATACAAACCACAGAAATTTTCGCGTCTTGTAACCACGGCAGATTTTGACGCCTTTTCAAGTTCAAATATATTCAAAAGTGCACACAAGTGTTCCCACTTGACAATATCCAACATTACTAACTTTCAACTCATATTATTGACAAATGCGGTTGTATCTCAATTTCAATATCATCTCTAATGACACTAAAATTGTCATTCGGAAAATATTTTGCATACCTGATGATCAAGTATAGAGGGTTATTTTTTGCTCATGAAAAGGAATGTCTAAAAGTTTGGCCGTGTGTTGGTATGTACTACATTATTGGCACTCAATTAAAATTTGAAAAATATTTTTATATGTAGAATTGATACTACTATCTGTTATATGTTCGATTACAGTATTCATATAATTGGTAACCATTAAGATACAAAATTGCAATCAATCCTGCTTGGTATACAACAGATCAAAATATAAAATCGATTTCAAAAATAATTTATTTTGAGAGTTTTGACAATTTCAACAACGAACAAGCACCTTATGCTGCTCTTGACCCTCACATAGTGAGCAAAGTGTAGGCAAAATTATGTTGTCAAGGATAAGTTCCTAAGTATACTATTATGCTCTTCCAACATTATTTATGACCAGAAATGGCATGAAATCATTATGACATCCCAATTTCTGTGAGATGCCTGAAATATTGAGGTGTAAATTGTTTTTTATGTGAGTGTAAATAAATTATCAACACTGTCTCCTTTAAATTCTCAACATTGAATATTGACCTATTTATTTTATTTATTCTGAAGGAATCATTTAAATAATTTTACCATGTTGAAAATAAAATATTTTTTATAGTGTTCTGTATTTTGTGTTTTAGATCCAGAAGTATGATTTACCTCCACCTGCTGCTGCTGTACAAAAACCTGTGCCAGCTCAAGTTGCTGTTCCCCCATTAATGTCCTCTTCAAAACCAGTGCAGCAGACTATCTTGGGTAGTCCCACCACTCCAGTCATGTCTGCCAAAACCCCCATTACAAATCAAATAATAGCTCCAAAAATTGTTACACCGATTATTAAAGGTTAGTATCATATCTGAATAGAAATACGTTATTTTTTTCAATTGGTTCAGCATCTACTATTTCAGGATCTCCAATAAGACTACAAGGTGCAACTGGAACTATTATTAGGCAAGGATCTCCCCAACAAGTTGCTGGAAAGCAATTGATTGTAAAGCAAGGGGGTAATTTGATTCAGAAGACCGGTGGTGTTCAGCAGCAGGTTGTTACATTGGTGAAAACTAGCACAGGTAGTAATTTTCAGTTGTTATTAAGGTTTATTGATTGTGTACCACTGTAATATTTTGTTGAGTTATAAGTATGATTTTTCCTTCTCAGGAATGACTTTGGCCACTTTGCCCAAAGGCAGTAATATTGTCCAAAACAAAACTGGAACCCTCCAAACACAGCAACAAAAAAATACTATAGTGAAAATTGTACCGAGCAATCCAGGTAACAAAGTCTTAACTACTTTGAAAACGATACCTTCCAATATGATTCAGATGAATAAGGCTACGGGAAAGTTAGTTCTATCCAAGGCAACTGGTCAAATACCAACACTGGGTAAAATACATTAGCCAATGTTAACCATATCAATAGAATACTAAAATTTTTAATTTTAGGAAATCAACAAGTATTGGTTGTAAGTTCCAATGCTGGTTTGAAAAATATTCAGACTTTGACAAATGCCCAGGCTGTTAATTTAGGCAATGTAAAAACTACGGCAATGAACACACAACCAGTCACAGCAGCTTCTCTTGCTGGTCTTCAAGGAGTCAAGTTAACTGGCAAACCAATTGTAATTTCCATGCCCAATCAAGTTGTTGGCACACCGAAAACTGTGACCTTGTCCAAAAACACGGTAACATCCTTTTCTCAACTGAGTGGAGTACTTTATTCAAACATTTTTAATACTATACAGGGTATTTTTGACAAACCACAAAATATTTGGGAACTGGACCTATCCCGTCTAGGTATCCATGGTTTACGGAGTCAGTTTTTTCATTAGAATTCAGCTACCTAGCCTAAATAACTCTGGTTCTCATTTAACTTCTAGCTGCAAAAACTTGTAACACCTAACACATACTAACTGTATGAAAATATTTGAGAAAGCTATTGTATAGCAAAATACGTTGCTGTTCTGTAAATTATCCAGTGAAAATCTCAATGTGTTACTTGAATAATATATGACTTTTATTATTTGAGTGATAATGACACAGAAAATCATTTTGTTTGGATCATTCCATAGATTTAACAGGGAGGTAATTTTATAGATGGTAACTGAATTACTTCAAGTGTTAGTTAGTCTGAGCATATTCAATAAATTTGCTGTCCTCATTCCATATCTATAGTTATCATAATGTCTGGAGAATTTGTCAACATTTTGTGTATTTCTAATGAATCTATCTGGATTATTATAATGTACAAAAGGACATCTTGCTAAGTTATCTTTTCAGTTTGATTTGGACAGTATTCTTTATGACGTTTTTCTTGCTTCTGAAGACAATTACTGAGTTACTTGAATGACCCCAATCTCTTAAGCGCCATGAAATGTCTAATTGTCTCTCATCTCATAAAAAGCAGAACAGTAGAAAGTTCGCTGGTCGTAGTTTTTGTCTCCTTGTTGACCGAGTATTTTGTTTTTGAAAAAATTTTATTGGTTCTTGATATTTTATTTTTTTCTATTTAAGTTCACTATCTGAAAACTTGTATTTTTGTTGAGTGAGAATCTGGATATTGGTGAAACTGGTACTGAATTTCAGGGTTGTCACATTCTCTAATAAAGTGAAATAACCTGATAAGCCTTCNCATGTTTGACGCACTTGTCGAGCCTTTTCGGTATTGGTGAGCAAAAATTCCTCCACTCGCACGATTGAGTGATAGTTTCAATGTCATATCCGTAAACCTATACTTCATTACCTGTTTTGACACGTTTCAGTAATTCTGCCTTGTCGTTGACTAAGTGACTTCTGGGCAACTTCCATTTGTCGCTGTTTCTGGTCAAAATTCAACAATTCTGGAAAAAATTATGCTGCCAACCGCTTCATACATGATACATTTGAAAAAAAGTCATGATATGGGTCAGTCGATATGCCAACATCATTAGCGAGTTCTCTGATTGTGATTCGTAAATCGTTTAGGACTATTTCTTTCACTTTTTCCACATTTTTAATCGGTTGTTTATGTGCTGAGGCGTCCGGGATGTTCGCCATATTCAACGTCTTTATGGCCATCTTGGCCATGACTGAAATGAAACTAAGACATTTAGAAGAATTGGGACTTCACATAAATAATATATGTAGTAATAGATAAAAAAGGTGATTACAAAAAGTGATACAAATTAATCATTTATTCTTTATAAGGATATTCAAAATAAGCTATTCTACCGTAAGATACCTCATCCCAACCATTTGGTGAAGAATGTAATGAACAATATGTTATGAATATTCTGAATCAATATGGTTGGGTAGAATTTCTATCTTGTTCCGTTTTTATGCATTATTTTTATGTTAAGTTAGCTCTTTTTGTGTTGTTACATTATGACAGTCTATGTTTTTCTTGTGACAACTAAAGTTCTTTGGCAATTGTAAGAGTATTTCTACAATTTCCAGTCACATAATGTATTAGTTGAAGCATGATTGATGATTTTGTCAACTGACAATAGGTCAAATGTACTATTTATAGATTTCGTTTGGGACTCTTTGGAGGTAGCAAAGATGAGTTGGAAACTCCTATGAAACCTTCAACGACCACAGCAGAAGCAGATTCGACTGAAACGACCATGAACGGATCCGTGAAGCACACCGATCCTGAGGAAAGTGAAAAATCAGATATGGGAATTGATATAAAGTCTGAAGTGTTGGATATAAAGGAGGAAAGCGAAGCAAGTGAGGAAACGGATGTGAACAATATGAGCTTGAACTTAGACCCGAGAAGTAAAATGGAACCCGATAGTGGGTTTGATAGCTCGTTTGGCAGTAGTCAAGTGACAGACGAACAGTCTGACAACAAGAAGCATGTTCCTGTCGACGATCCTCTGACTGCACTAGCGTCGGCAGCACTTGATCATTCGAAAGATATAAAAAAGACTGAGATTAGTGAATCTACTAAGCCCGCCAAAGACACTTGGTATACTGTCGGGTTCATTAAGGGTAATAGTTGTGATGTTCAAAGTTACTTTCTGTTGGAGGATGATACCACCGAGTTATCATTGGAAAATCTACCTGAGCTGGCTAATTTTCCAAAGATCAACCTTGAACCTGGTACGGCTTACAAATTTCGAGTCGCAGCAATTAATTCAGTTAAAGTATATCTAATAATGATCAATAGTGAATTTACTTTTTAAAATTACTCGTTTAAATGTTTTGTAACTTTACATTGAGAATTTTTTTTTTTTAGAAACAAGTAATGATTGGCGGAAAACAGGTAACTGTTCAAATGGCCACTGGAGGAAATAAAACACTAACCCTTGTTCAACCAAATCAAGTTGGAGGAGTTGGTAAAATTGTCAGATTACCCATCAGTTCATCTACTTCAAATAACACAGATCAACCCAAACTCATGGTAGTGTCTCGTCCAAAACAACCAACTGCAACGATTGGTGAGTTATCTAAAATATCACCATCATTTTTGGAGTAATTCTTAATAATTTATTTCTCTATTATTCTTTCTAGCTTCAACATCATTCGACGGACCAGCAACAACAGATGCTGCACTGGCAGCTTTGGCAGCAGAAGCTGGTCTGATTGATCCAGAGCCAGAGAAAGCTTCTCTAAAAATTGAGTCCATAGATGCAGAAGGTGGTAATAAAACCGATATTGACATGTCTGACGAAGCACCAATTTCTGACGTTTCAACTCCTATGGATAACACTGGCCTTCTAGGAGGCGGAGCAATGACTCAATTGGGGCTCAAGGGTGGTTCAAAAATTCTATTAGGACTGCGTGGAGGTGCCCCAAATCTACCACCGAAAGGATTCAGGTATGTTTTATTGTATAGAATCATATTTCAAGTACTTTTTTGCACACCTGACCTTTGGAACTAGTCTCATACCGTGATTTTGTTAGTTGCCTAATATTTTTAAGATATAATACGAGGTATGTTCAAAATATAATGGAAATTTTCGTTTTTTTTTTAATTTATTTGTCAACATCAATTTTCTCACCTTCAATATAGTCCTCAATAGATATTATGCACTTCTACCAGCACTTCCAATCTTGAAACACTTCTCAAACTCGATCTTTGGGATAGCCTTTAGCTCTTTCAACAACATACTTTCAATGTCATCTGTGCTCGTGAAACGACGGTCCTTTGAAGTTCCCTTCATTTTTGAAATAGGAAGTCACACACATCCATTTCCGGAAGACATGAAGGCTGTTTCAGTATTGTTTTTGTAAAAAAAATTCACAAACAAGCAATGAAGGGTGAGTTGTGGGCAGGTGCATAATCCTGGTGTAAAAGCCATGAATTTTTTTCCCACAAATTCGGACGTTTTTTCTTTCAGGATTGCCTCGCGCAAACAGCGTTGAGTTTGTATACTCCTTATTCACTGTTTGACTTCGTGGCAAGAATTTAATGATGCACTATACCATTAAAATGGAAGCATAACCTTCATGTTTGACGCACTTGTCGAGCCTTTTCGGTATTGGTGAGCAAAAATTCCTCCACTCGCACGATTGAGTGATAGTTTCAATGTCATATCCGTAAACCTATACTTCATTACCTGTTTTGACACGTTTCAGTAATTCTGCCTTGTCGTTGACTAAGTGACTTCTGGGCAACTTCCATTTGTCGCTGTTTCTGGTCAAAATTCAACAATTCTGGAAAAAATTATGCTGCCAACCGCTTCATACATGATACATTTGAAAAAAAGTCATGATATGGGTCAGTCGATATGCCAACATCATTAGCGAGTTCTCTGATTGTGATTCGTAAATCGTTTAGGACTATTTCTTTCACTTTTTCCACATTTTTAATCGGTTGTTTATGTGCTGAGGCGTCCGGGATGTTCGCCATATTCAACGTCTTTATGGCCATCTTGGCCATGACTGAAATGAAACTAAGACATTTAGAAGAATTGGGACTTCACATAAATAATATATATTTTAAGACGTGTCTGCCTGGTTTTCCTGGTGCTCCATCTGCAATCAAAATAGCAAAATCCAGTGATGGGGCTCACTTGTCTTGGGAACCACCCAGTTCCAACCAAGGTGAAATCCTTGAGTATTCTGTGTACCTGGCAGTAAAAGGGAAAGTACGTTTATTTTTCTCCTGTTTCACCGACTTCAACCTAATATTAATGTGTGTTTTAGGATAAGGCAAATCCACCAGGACAGCTGGCCTTCGTTAGGGTGTATTGTGGACCGAACAGTCAATGTGTTGTCTCGAACGGTTCCCTATCATCAGCTCACTTAGATACATCTACGAAAGCGGCAATAATTTTCCGCATAGCTGCCAAAAATGACAAAGGCTATGGACCAGCGACGCAAGTTAGGTGGTTACAAGGTTAGTGAAAATAATGAAACCTTAATTTTTATGTCAATGAAAGCTACTATCGGAATATTATTCATATTTGCTTTAGCTGAATTTTTTTTGCATACTGAAAGTAACATACAAAGTTTGTTTCCTGTAGTAAATATTTTGTGGATTTCTTGCTAAAAGTGCTAAATCAAAATACAGAAATAAGATTATGGATGATACATTCTAATGGAGCTCGATTTTGACTTGGGTATGAAAGTTTTTTTTGATAGCACATTTATAATACAGTAGTTTTTACAGGATGTACTTGTTCTTGGAGTTCCTGACATTTCATCTGCTACTGCGGCAGACATATCAAAGGAAGGCACAAACGAAAATGGTCCTGGTTTGCACTAAGACCATTTTCAGTTTGCGCATCGCAGCTAGATAGATCACTTTGACCATTGTCGCATCGCCTTTGATAATGTCTGCCGCAGTAGCAATTGGAACTTCAGGTATTAAAAAAAACTGCAGAGAAAGGCTAACAAACCCGGAAACATGGGACAATTTTTCAAATAATTGTTACTACAAATTAATTTTAACAAGAGCCATTTTTTGTAAAGAAAATTAGGGCTTTTGTCAATTTTTCGTGGTATCGGAGCGTCCGCA